AGCTGCTCTACAGGGGGAAGGAAAAGATTGTAAAGATTTGTAGCCTTGGAAACCCTATGGAGCAATTCTCTTTCCTGTCGAGTCGTAATTGACTTGATGGCAATGCGTCTTTTTGGTTTTTGTTCTGTGTTTTTCTCTTAGACACGTGTTCCAGTTTTCCCGATGGTGAACAAATCGGCCCTGAAGACCTCAGCTTTAACACTGAGGAAAACAGTGGAAGGTAATTGCCACATCAAGAAAATTGACTTCCAAGCTTCCTTGACCCTGACACCTGCTCTAGTTGGTGCTCAAAGTTTTCATCCATCAATTAATCAGATTTGGTCTTACTTTTTCATCATCTCTACCAGAAATAGTAATTCTGAAAATACTAGAAAGTATATAAAACAGTAGTACATTGGGGGGGAGGAAATTAACAGCATGGGAAGTATTCTTTGTAATGTAATGAAATAACAGTGTAGTCCTAGAAATTAATTTAGTAAATTAGAACATTCACAAAAGGCAGTTGATCTTCTACAACAGAAGGGCAATTAACTGCCAGCAAACGTCCCTAGAGACAGTGCATGCTTTCAACGAGCTGCTCAGTATCCATGCTCTTCTGTCTTGCTAGACACTCAGTCATATTTAAATGACCACCTTTACGTTTGGGATTTTCATCAACAGTGTATAGCTTCATTAGTGCCTACAGATGAGTGAACAGAACAGATTCCGCCTTGCCTTGTAGATCTGCGTGTGAATAGGTGAAGTGACACTAAACCGAATCTCCTCTGTGGAGTACGTTGACGAATTGAAGTTAATTGAATTCTCTTTTCTCACATTAAGTGTCTGTACATGGTTTAATGGCACATAACATCTCTCTTAGGTGACTTTTACAAGTGTAATTTTAAGTGAATTAAGTTAATGTGGATTGGTTATGTTCCCTGGTCTTGTGGACACATGGAAGATCATTTATTATGCCTCTTACAAAATAACTAATGCACCCATTATTTTTAAATCTTCTTTTCTCTTTTATTTTCATTAATTGGGCATGGATTTTGGTGTCAGTACCTTTCAAGATTCATACATATTATATACAGTGACTTGCATGAAAGTGAAACTGTGGTCTAAGGTTTTCTTTAAAACAGCAAGCCCAAAATAATTGCTAAACATTACCATTTTACTCCTGCCTTTGTGTTTCAGCTGCTATATATATTGTTTGTGAAAATTACACTGCAGGTTGACTAGAGACTATTGAAAAGGCATGAGACACCTTACACATGAGACACCTTACCTGCTTATATTTTAGTTAATGACAATTGTTCACTTTTTCATGTCTGTCTAATGCCTTGCTGAATGCTATGATTCATGGTTTACTTTGTTAAAAACAGTTTGCACTTTTTGCTAATAAAAGGAACTTGGGAAAATATTATGCCTCTGCAGTTTATTAAGGTGGAACCTGTGTGTTGCCAAGTTGGTTCCAACTCATAGTGACCCTGTAGAGGGTTTCCGAGAGCAGCTGGTGGATCTGAACCGCCAACCTCGTGTTTACCAGTCCAGTGCCTGCGACACCAGGGTTCACGTGGAACTAGAAACCTTTTTTCCCTTCATTCTGCCCGTGTATGACAGAGACTGTTTAGTTCCAAATTTGGTAAGTTAGCTGCTGGTAAATTCCCACAGGACACAACACCATTCCACCATACGCTTCAGCCTAAAGGCTCTCAGCTATAGCTCTGTGCATCAGCAGACCTAGCCCAGCCACTTACCGTGCCTGAGACACCCCACGCTACAACCACGCTTATTGTCCACAGTCACTCAGCTTTACTTGCTCCTTGAAGGAACCTCACTGTTCTGTCTTGTGCTCTGGGTTTTGATTGTGCAGTTGCTGCTTCTTTGCCACTCATCCGGTGTCACTGTTTTCTGTCCCTGCATTGAGGAGGTTCGATACACAAGGGATCGCAGGATCCAAAGGATGTGCTTCACTCCTGACTATTCTTTGATGGTAGTGAGATCCCCCTTTTGCTTCTGAGGTGGCATGTTTTAAACCCGTGTTAGAGTTCCAAATTTTCAAAATTTCAGTGAACTCTGTTAGCATCCACAGCAGAATCACATCATCAGTATCTTCTCCCCCGTTTCTTACCCAGACTTACCAGAAAAAGATTTGTTTGGTGGGAGTTACAAAGACAAGGCTAAAGGAGATATACTAAATAATTCACTATACTGCACAAACCATTGTAAGAATTGCTTTGAAGATGATAAGTACTCATTAGAATCCATATGTGTTATCCCTAGTCAGAATCTCAGTTGCTAAGCCCTTTACTTACATATGGTACAGAACTGAGTACTTTTCTATGTACCTTTGTAAATCTTTATATATTCCTCATAGATCTTGTACATACTTTCTACTAGTATAAGTGATGTTATTTATTTATTTCAAATTCCAAATAGACAAATTCCTAGTATATAGAAAGCAATTGACTCTTGGATATTAACCTTGTATCCTGTAACCTTGCTATTTTCAATTATTAGTTCCAGAAGCTCGTCAGTTCTCTGAGATTTCCTACTTAGACAATGAAAAGAACTCTAGTAGTGGAGTCCTGGTGTGGCACTGTGGGTTAATGCACTGGATTGCAAAGTCTCTGAACCACAAGGTTGGTGGTTCAAGGTCACCAGCTGCTCCCCAGAAACACTATACAGGGTTGCTATGGGTTGGAATCAACTCGACAGCACTTACAAACCCACAATGCTGCTGTTGTTGTTGAATTGTTAACCACAAGGTCAGCAGTTTGAATCTACCAGCTGTTCCACAGAGAAAGACGGGTTTCTCCTTCTGTAAAGATTTACAGTCTCAGAAGCCATAGGATGACGATGGGTTGGAACCAACTCCACAGCACACCACCATTACATTGTTGTTAGGTTCCATTGAGTCGGTACCAACTCATAGCGACCTTATGCACAGCAGAACGAAACACTACTCAATCCTGGGCCAACCTCACTACTGTTGCCACGCTTGAGTCCATCGATGCTGCTACTTGGCTAATCCATCTTGTTGGGGGTCGTCTTCTTTTTTTCTGACCCTCCACCTTACCAAACATGATATTCTTCTCCAGCGACTGGTCCCTCCTGACAATACGTCTGAAGTATGAGATATGAAGTCTGGCCATCTTGGTCTCCAAGGAGCACTATGGCTGCACTTCCAGAAGGGACCTACTGGTTCTTTTGGCAGCCCATGGCACTTTCAATATTCTCCAACACCCTAACACAAAAGCATCAATTCTTCTATGGTCTTCCTTATTCACTGCCCAGCTTTCGCATTCATAATGAGGTTATTGAAAATACCATGGCTTGGGTCAGGTGCATCTTAGTCCTCAAGCTGACATCTTTGCTCTTCAACACTTTAAAAAGGTCTTGTGCAGCAGATTTGCCTAATGGAATACATTGTTTGATTTCTTGACTGCT